GATAAAAGAAAAATTAACACGGCAGCGGAATTTCGCATTCACTGTGGTGCGGGTGTGTTTACGTTAAGGTTGACATTGAAATACGCTTCTTCGTGTCTTGGTGTCTCACAGCGCACAGTGGTATAGGAAAAAAAAAAGAGGGAAATAATTCGGTAACTTCTAAACGGTTAATCCGATTTTAATGAAATTTGGTATGCACAAAGAGGAGGTGTTGTCGAGTTTAGGTTTTGAATTTGGACCTTATAGGCCAACCAGGGGCCCGGCGGGGGGTCCTCAAATTAGGACACCTCGGCTATGTTAAATTTTTAAAACGATCCTATTTCTTCATTTGAGTTCCGATTTAAAAAAAATTTCGTATATAGAATCTCCTCATCGAGCACTATAAAAAATGTCGTCGTAGCAGTAAATTATCTCTTATAGTTTAGGAGATATTCGCATTTGAATATTAAAATTTTAAAATTTTTACCGTCCTTACTTTAGTTTTTTTGATAATAGCAGGTCCAAATATTTCCGATTTTCGCCATTTTTTTTTATTTGCTTAACAACAAGTTTATATACCAAGCAGTGAAAGAATTATGTAAAAATCATGACTGAGTCCAAAGTTATAGGCATTTAAATTTAAAAAATTAAAAAAAGGCGATTTTTTGTCATTTTTTTGGGAAAAAAGTATCTTTTTCTTTTTAAGTTATCTAAAAAGTTTCTAAGAAGATGTATATAGAATTTATACTTTTTGGAAAGCTGACTTTACATAAAATACGATAAATGAAACAAAACCTAAAAATTTTTGATACCGAGGGGACCAGGTCCATCCAAAAAAACCCTATTTTTTATGGAAAATTAAATTTTGAGCAAAAATTCTCAAATCGCATAGTCGATATCAAATTATAGTGACCTGTTTTATATGACCCAATAAGTTCTTAATCATTTTGTAACGGGTTTCGATAACCCCGCCCCTGGTATGGATATAATAGGCAAAAAACCAAAAAATCCCATTTTTGGGATTTTTTAAAACTTTTTTGGGAATTCCGGGATTTCTAATAAGAAAATTCGAAATTTTTATTTAATTTTGGATTTTGAGTAAAAAAATCTACCTAACTGTAAAATTTCATCAAAAAATATTCATAAATAAAATTTTTATTGCAATTTGAAAAATTTGTATCTTCGCAAAAACTGAATAAAAAACATTTTTTAATTTTTTTTAAAAAAAGTATTCCGCGAATTTTTTAATTTTCAAAAATTATATACAGTTTTGAAAAATAGACAAAATTACCTTTCCATTGATATATAACATGCCTACCTAATGTTTTTTAAGTGACAAATTAATTAGGGAAAACTCAACATCTTTTAGAAAATTTGCCTAGCACTATTATTTTCATCCATAAGGTTAACTCTTAAATTTGTTACATATATGGATGAAAATAATAGTGCTAGGTAAATTTTCTAAAAGATGTTGAGTTTTCCCTAATTAATTTGTCACTTAAAAAACATTAGGTAGGCATGTTATATATCAATGGAAAGGTAATTTTGTCTATTTTTCAAAACTGTATATAATTTTTGAAAATTAAAAAATTCGCGGAATACTTTTTTTAAAAAAAATTAAAAAATGTTTTTTATTCAGTTTTTGCGAAGATACAAATTTTTCAAATTGCAATAAAAATTTTATTTATGAATATTTTTTGATGAAATTTTACAGTTAGGTAGATTTTTTTACTCAAAATCCAAAATTAAATAAAAATTTCGAATTTTCTTATTAGAAATCCCGGAATTCCCAAAAAAGTTTTAAAAAATCCCAAAAATGGGATTTTTTGGTTTTTTGCCTATTATATCCACACCAGGGGCGGGGTTATCGAAAACCGTTACAAAATGATTAAGAACTTATTGGGTCATATAAAACAGGTCACTATAATTTGATATCGACTATGCGATTTGAGAATTTTTGCTCAAAATTTAATTTTCCATAAAAAATAGGGTTTTTTTGGATGGACCTGGTCCCCTCGGTATCAAAAATTTTTAGGTTTTGTTTCATTTATCGTATTTTATGTAAAGTCAGCTTTCCAAAAAGTATAAATTCTATATACATCTTCTTAGAAACTTTTTAGATAACTTAAAAAGAAAAAGATACTTTTTTCCCAAAAAAATGACAAAAAATCGCCTTTTTTTAATTTTTTAAATTTAAATGCCTATAACTTTGGACTCAGTCATGATTTTTACATAATTCTTTCACTGCTTGGTATATAAACTTGTTGTTAAGCAAATAAAAAAAAATGGCGAAAATCGGAAATATTTGGACCTGCTATTATCAAAAAAACTAAAGTAAGGACGGTAAAAATTTTAAAATTTTAATATTCAAATGCGAATATCTCCTAAACTATAAGAGATAATTTACTGCTACGACGACATTTTTTATAGTGCTCGATGAGGAGATTCTATATACGAAATTTTTTTTAAATCGGAACTCAAATGAAGAAATAGGATCGTTTTAAAAATTTAACATAGCCGAGGTGTCCTAATTTGAGGACCCCCCGCCGGGCCCCCGGTTGGCCTATAAGGTCCAAATTCAAAACCTAAACTCGACAACACCTCCTCTTTGTGCATACCAAATTTCATTAAAATCGGATTAACCGTTTAGAAGTTACCGAATTATTTCCCTCTTTTTTTTTTCCTATACCACTGTGCAGCGTGTGCTTTTTTGTTTTTGTTCGCATTCTAACATGACGTTTATTTTGCTTTTCAATTTATTACTGTTTTTTGTTGTTCCTTCTAGAATTGTAACAATTTCTTTTTAGCCTCCGTATCTGTGTCTCTGTGTATATTCTATGTCTATCATTTCAATATTCTAGAGACACTTTCATTAAAAGTACATCTGTGTATCATTCAGACAGATTGAACAATTTGAGAAACGTCAAGCAGACAAGCAACAATCACACAGAGAAAACACTCATAACATGGATAATCCAAAAGCTCCTTGGCCTGTACGCAAAGGGATCTTTCGTTCGAGTGGTCAATCGGATTTTATACCCACTCGTTCGCCCAGTCCCATTGTAGAAATGCCACTCTCACCACCTCCGGTAACAAATAATACACGAGCATCTTCTCTCAGTCGTTTCGACAACAATTGTCCCTTCTCACCACCGCCCCAACCTATACAGGTTATACAGGGTCCTCCCGGACCCATAATGACTACGGCTGCCTCCATGACCAGTAGTGCCAAAAGTGCACAGTCGTCATCAACATCCTCCTCTTCAAAAACTGCCTCATCATCTTCGTCCTCCTCGTCTGCACAAAATAAAATGTCCTCCCAAGCGTCCGCCGCCTCTTCTGCCTCTTCATCAGCGCGTATGTCGTCGTCTGCCTCTGCCAGCAGTGCCTCGCGTTCAGTACGTAAAAATTCTTTACCCCCCAATCTACCACAATATTGTGCCGCCTCCTCCTCCTCTTCACAACACCAACAATTGGCCTCCAATAGTGCCAACTCCAACAGTACACAAAGTTTAAATAATAATAATAGTAACAATAAACACAATACACATCATCATCATCAGCAAGCATCCAATTCCTTAAGTTCTTCTCCAGTTAACTTAAAAAATGTACGACAGATACCCATCGAAGTTGAACAGAATAAGGTTAGAATACTATGGGTTCTCCAACAATCGGAGTTGTGTGATAAATGTTATGAAAATCGAGAGATACTTCTTTTATGTTGAAAGACATCTTAGGGATTTCATAAGGAATAAATTAAAATCTGGCCTATGGACTGGACTTAGTCCGAAGTATAAACTAGACTATAATCTGAACACAATATAGTTCGGACTATAGGCAATATAGTTTGGACTATAGACAATTTAGTTTAGACTATAAACAAGACAATGTAGTCTGGACAATACACTAGACTATAGTCTGTACTATAGACTAGACTATAGTCTGTACTATAGACTAGACTATAGTCTGTACTATAGACTAGACTATAGTCTGGGCAATAGACTAGACTATAGTCTGGGCAATACACTAGACTTATTCTGGTCGATAAACTAGACTATATTTTGAACTATTGACTAGAATATAGTCTGTGCTATAGACAAGACTATATTCTGGTCTATAGACTAGACTATAGTCTGGACTACAGACTAGACTATAGTCTGGACTACAGACTAGACTATAGTCTGGACTATAGTCTGGACTATATTCTGGACTATAGTCTGGACTATAGTCTGGACTATAGTCTGGACTATAGCCTGTACTATATTCTGGACTATAGACTAGACTATAGAATAGAATATATTCCGGACTATAGACTAGACTACAGTCCGGACTATAGACTAGACTACAGTCCGGACTATAGACTAGACTACAGTCCGGACTATAGACTAGACTACAGTCCGGACTATAGACTAGACTACAGTCCGGACTATAGACTAGACTTTAGTCTGGGTTATAGACTAGACAATAGTCTAGATTATAGACTTGACTATAGTCTGGACTATAGACTTGACTATAGTCTGGACTATAGCCTAAAATATATTTTAGATTATAGAGTAGACTATAGTCTGGACTATTGATAAGACTACAGCCCGAACAGTATAGTCTGGACTATAAACTAAAAATAGTCTGAACTATAAACTATACTAAAGTCTGAACTGTAAACTATACTAAAGTCTGGATGAAAGACTAGTCTAAAGTCTAGACTATACTGAAGAGAGTTCTCATCTAATAGAGATTTAAAAAGATTTATATTTCTTAGATAGTCGACTATTAAAGATCAAAGTTCAAATCATAGAATGATCCTGTCATCCGAAATTATTACTTCTTTCTACATTTATCACATTAACTTGTCAACGATAAATCAAAACAAATATACTTACTAGATCCATTAGTCCAGTAAAACAAAATTCTCTAAATGTAAATCGTATAACAGACCTTTTTTACCAAAACTAAAAAAAAATTTCCTTTTAAAACTTTTACTAAAATTTAAACTAATACCTCTCTCTATTTCCCTTTTACAGGAAGCTCTCTCTTTGCGTGCCGGAGATGTTACCCAACAGGCTAGCAATAACGTGGCCGCCGCTAGTATTAAAGTTCAAAGTGATACCTTTTCGGCTGACAAGAAGGCCATCTCTCAGTCGCAGCAATCACAGACAATGACCTCGAATGGCATTATCAGCCAGGAGAAACATGTCTCATCGGCCGCGCAGGCCAATTACAGCATGACCAGCAAGGGTGTTTCCAGTTCTGGCGGCAGTACCATGATCTCTTCCTCTTCACAAATGTCCACCACTAATGGTAATCTTTTTAAATTAGCCGATTTCCGGCTGGATGATCTAATGCAGCTAAGTTCCACCAGTGGTCAGAAGGACATCGAACAGGCCATTAGCAAGTACTCCAATATGTTGACTTCATGTGTCAACTCACTGCAAGATAAGAAAGCCACCTCCGACGATACCATGTATTTGGATAAAATCAATGAAGTTATACGCAGAGCCTGGGCTGTGCCCACTCATGGTCATGAATTGGGTTATAGTTTGTGTAATTCTTTGCGCAATAGTGGTGGTCTAGATTTGCTCATGAGAAATTGTGTCCAGGGGGATATGCAAATCAAATTCTCCTCAGCCAAATTGCTAGAACAATGTTTGACCACCGAAAATCGTACTCATGTGGTAGACAATGGTTTAGATAAGGTAGTTAATGTGGCCTGTGTTTGCACCAAGAAACAAAGTATCGAACATTCACGTGTGGGTACTGGTATATTGGAACATCTCTTCAAACACTCCGAGGGCACCTGTTCGGATGTTATTAAACTGGGTGGTTTGGATGCTGTGCTATTCGAATGCCGTACCAGTGATGTAGAGACCTTGAGACATTGTGCTAGTGCCTTGGCCAATTTATCGTTGTATGGTGGTGCCGAGAATCAGGAAGCTATGATTTTGCGCAAGGTGCCCATGTGGTTATTCCCTTTGGCCTTCCATAATGATGACAACATTAAGTATTATGCCTGTCTGGCCATTGCGGTTCTAGTCGCCAATAAGGAAATTGAAGCTGAAGTTTTAAAATCCGGCTGCTTGGATTTGGTAGAGCCGTTTGTGACTTCTCACGATCCCTCGGAATTTGCCAAATCAAATTTAGCTCATGCTCATGGTCAAAGTAAACATTGGCTACAACGTCTAGTGCCTGTGCTCAGTTCAAATCGTGAAGAAGCTCGTAGTTTGGCAGCTTTTCATTTCTGCATGGAGGCGGGCATTAAACGTGAACAGGGAAACACCGAAATTTTCAGCGAAATAGGAGCTATAGAGGCTCTTAAGACCGTAGCCAGTTGTCCCAATGCTATTGCCTCCAAATTTGCCGCTCAAGCTTTGCGCCTCATAGGCGAAACAGTACCCCATAAACTCTCGCAACAAGTACCTCTCTGGTCGGTGGAAGATGTTCAGGAGTGGGTTAAACAAATCGGTTTCGGACAATTCGTCAAACAATTCGAAGAATCCCAAGTCGATGGTGATCTGCTGCTAAAACTCAACGAAAATAACCTACGTGATGATATTGGTATTTTAAATGGCATACTGCTTAAACGTTTCGAACGTGAACTACAAAATCTCAAACGTATGGCTGATTATTCATCGAAAGATACCGCCAAACTGCATCATTTTCTATCGGAAATTGGTCCAGAATATTGTACCTATACCTACTCAATGGTTAATGCGGGCATAGATAAAAACTCTTTGCCACAGCTAAATGAAGATATGTTGATACAGGAGTGTGGCATCAAGAACTCCATACATAGACTGCGCATTCTGAATGCGGTTAAGAGTTTGGAAAATACCATACTCTCCTCATCGGAGGATAGTATGGCCAAGACTTTGGATGTATTTGTTAGTTATAGACGTTCAAATGGTTCACAATTGGCCAGTTTACTTAAGGTGAGTTATAGTTGTTGAATTCTGGATATCTGAGTTCTAATATTTTCTTTTCACATACCAGGTCCATCTACAATTACGTGGCTTCTCCGTGTTCATTGATGTTGAACGTTTGGAGGCTGGAAAATTTGACAATGGTTTGCTAAACAGTATTCGCCAAGCGAAAAATTTCGTTTTAGTATTAACACCAAATGCTCTCGAACGTTGTGTCGATGATAATGAATGCAAAGATTGGGTACATCGAGTAAGTTTTGTCTTCAGATCAAAGTTACTTCAGAATTCATTATATTAATTCTATTATTTTTTTTAATTTTCAGGAAATTGTAGCCGCTTTAAATTCAAATTGTAATATTATACCCATTATTGATAGTCAATTTTTTTGGCCAGAACCCGAGCGTTTACCCGAAGACATGCGTAGTGTTTGTCATTTTAATGGTGTAACGTGGATTCACGATTACCAGGACGCCTGCATCGATAAGTTGGAAAGGTAAGTTATTTTGAAATAGAACATTGTGTTGGTAGTTCAAATGGGATGTCTTGTCGTGAACGTTGATTGTTAAAATTTTCCAAAAATTGCTTGAAAATTCATTGAGTAAGAGAAAGCGGATGGCGGGACTCTTATAATTTAAATGTTATAATGACATAGCTGAGATTGCTGTGTTTTTACTGGATCTAAATGAGCAAGTGTTTGAGAGATTTATGGAAATTGTTAAACTTCTCGTTCTCTTGATGACAGATTTTAACATCTTGATGACTGAAGTTCAAGTTCCAATCACTTAAATCACTTTGAATCGGGAAGCATTATCTGTCTCCAAATTGAAATGTTCAAAACCTTGAAAAATGAAATCGTTTAAGAGATTTATCTTATAAACCTCTTATCAAATTTCTTGGAAACTTGGAGGATCCTTAAAGTGAGAGTTTGATCAGAGGAATGTTGGATTGAGATTCTTAAGTTTATAATTCTATAACTCAGATATTTCGAATCCAAATATTGATGATTCAACTTGAATCTATAAGCATTGACTTGAAACTTTCGGCATCCAAACTGAAACTTCCAAATAATAAAATCCTTCATCTTATAAACCTGCATCGAATCTTGAAAGATTTATGACGATTAATTTGGACTTTCAGAAGAGTTTTGAAGGAGCTCATTGAGATTATTAAACTCTTTATTCTCAGTCACTTTTAATATGAAAGCACTGACTTAAAGCTTTCAGTATCCAAACTGAAACTTACAAATAATGAAAATCCTTCAACTTATATCTCGAAAGAACTGTACAGATGAAGTTGAACTTTCAGAGGAGTTTTGGAATATATTAGATTTGTAACTTATGAACCGAACAGGAGCTTTCGAAATCTGTGAAATTAGGTAACTTCTAAACTACTCCTTAGAATGCTTTTCCACAGAAAAGAACTAAGACGTTTGGAGGAGTGTTGGGGATTCTCATTGAGATCTGTAAACCCATTTTTCCGATAACGAAAGATTTTTTCATACGTATGGTTAAAAGCTTTAGATTTAAAACTTCCGGATCCAAATTGAAACTGTTGATAATCGATAAATGGTAATCATTCTAATGATGTAACTTCTGAACATCTTATCAGATATCTTTGAAACTTTGAAGATCCCTAAAGTAAAAGTTGAAGATGATTTAGATTTGAAACTTTCGTATCCGAAGAGGAACTTTCGAAATCTGTTAAATGGAAAGAGTTAATGTAATTTCTAAACTTCTCATCAGATTTCTCTGGAAATTGGAAGATTTCTTAAAACAGAGTTCAACAGTTTTTTTATAAAACATTTGAACTGCCAGCTGATTTCGCATCCGTACTGAATCTTTTGGAAACTTAAATCGTGCTTATGATGGAATCGGTTTAACTTCTGAACATCTTATCAAATTTCTTTGTAAATTACAAGGTTTCTTACAAATAATTGGACTCTTCTTGGATAAAACATTTTAACGTCCAGATGATTTAAGGCTTTCGGATTCGAAATGATGAATCTTTCGGAAATTATTAAATGGGAATCGTGTTTATGATGGAATCGCTTTAGTGACGTTACATCTGAAGTTCTCATCATCTGGTAAAAGAAGATGATCAAGATGTAACTTCTGTTCATATCTCTTCGAAACTTGGGATATCCATTAAGAGATAGCTTCACTCTCTTTGCTTTAAGCAATAGAAGCTCTGCAGTGATCCAAAGTAAATCATCTCACACGTGAAAAACATTTCATATATCGATATAGTTTCGATCAGTTTAAAAAATCTCAAGCCTTAGATACCTCCCATTTGAAACACTACCAATAAAATATTAATAATCTCTGTTATTGTTTTGTTTCTTTTTCTTTTGCCAACTACTAACTAAAGAATAGTGACAAAAAGTCTTAGCAATCGTACCACGGTATGAGAGGTAAAAATTCAGTATTTTTATTTAAAAAGCAAAGATTCAAAGAATAACCAAAAACCATACCAAACCTACAAAAAACGAATACTAAAACACCAGCACCACATAATTAAAACTATGAAATCATAAACTTTAAAACTAAATCACAAAAGCATTCATTGAATCTCTTTCTCTCTAACCAAAAATACTGGATTTCTATAAAGTCTCAATACCTTTGCCCTACAAAATAATATCCCTACTCACCACTTATAACATTTCCCTATTTACAGATTTATGCGCGGCGAAAAGAATATTGATCGCATAGCAGCTATGACACCCGGTACGCCCGGTTCGACGGTGAATTACCAAAGAATGCACAGCAATGATTCGGATTATAGTGTGGGCGGCAGTAATGCTGGCGGCAGTAATTGTGGCACAGGCGGCAATGGAGGATCATCGAATGGCGGCGGACAAGGTGGGACACAAAATACGATCACACCCTCAAATACAGGACGATCCAGTGTCGATTGACTGGATTGTCCTCTAAGTAATCAATTGAAAACAAATGAAAATCCTTCTTCGAATATTATTTTAATTGATAATGTTAGCAGTAGTAGTTGTACTCGTAGTAGCAATAGTAGTTCTAATAGACATTTCAAGACTCTCAATTCTCCCTCATCTATTCTAAAGTCTAAATTAAAAACTAAATTATTGAATGGAGCTGTTGTAACGGCGGCGACAGCAAAACGTGCCGCTGTTAATGGCAACAGTCTTCCTCCTAGTGGTAGTAGTTATTTTAGTAGTTATTTATCAAATCAAAATTCAAAAGCCCTTCAAATATTTACTGATAATAATCATTTAATTAATACTAATCACAAACTAGCAGCTAATCACCAGGCAAATAGATACCGGCAATCAGCATCACCGGCTCGTCAACGTTTGGCAGCGGGCGGAGGCAGTTTATTAAGCAGTTCTGGAAAGTTAGGCAGCACTGGTAGTCAGCTGAGTGTGTTTGGCCGTAATTCTAAGCGTAATATGTTGCCACCCTATCGCACTCATCAAACAGCGGTTCATAAAGCTTTGCCTATAGGTGGCTCCATGCAAAATGTTTCACCTTTGGCTTATAAGCCTCCCCGAAGAAGTTCTGCTGTGGGCATATGCAATGATAATAAGGATAAGACTTCATCTAACTATAGAAGCCACAGTGTAGATGAGTTGCTGGATAATAGTGAGAGCACGGATAAGAAGATAGCAGAGGCTGCTGCCTTAGTATCGGCTGGTAGTTTGGCTTTAACTAATGTCAGTTCCACTAGTACTCTACAGCCCAATGAAGACTATAACTGTTCGGTAGCTTCAATAACCGAACTAGAAAGCAGTCCAGTATTAGTGCCACGACGAGAAAAGTCAGCCAATCTACCACCCATTAATCCTCAGCATCGTAAATCCCGTAGTCTTGATCATTTTCTCGATGAACAAACTTTGGCTGCCATAGTAGTGCCACCCTCACCCACAGAGGGTACACAAAGTATGCAAAATCTTGCCACACCCATGACACCCGAACCCATACGTTCTAGTATAGCTAAAGCCATTACCAATCTACCGGTGCGTGCCGCTTCAGTGCGAGACTCAAAATCCATAACACCCGATCGTGTAACAGCCCTGCGTACTAGCCCCTCTAATCGTCAGAGTCCAGAGGGTATTAGTTCTACCGAAGATGAACGTGAAGATAGCCAAAGTGTTAAGTCCGTTAAAACGTCACAAATTAAAGCCTCCGCCCCTAAAAGTCAGACAAGAGCAGCAGCCCATATACATCGTGGCAATAGTGCGAGTAGTGGACGTGTGGGTAGTGCGACGGCGGCGGACCAAACGAATCGGGTATCGAAAACTACTTCCAGCAGTTCTTTGGGCTCGACCAGCGGCTCCAATAGTCCGAATAATAAAACCATTTTCAATCGAACGATGAAAAAAGTTCGATCGCTGATCAAAAAGTAAGCATCAAAAACCTACAAACTGAAAATCTCTTTCTCTCTAAACTCTATCTCTTTCTATCTTACTCTTAAAACATACATAATATACACTCATAAACCTGCATAATTAGTCCTATTTGTTATTCCCTTAAAAGGTAAAAATTTTACGATAAATGAGTTCCCATCTGAAATTTGTTACGGATTTAGATGAGTATTCATTTTACCCATATTTTCAAGTTGTTAGCCAAACATTGTATTACAAAGTTTCGTTGTGTTTTTGTCCAAAATCTCCTTTCATGTTTCATTTTCGTTTTTTTTTTTTTCTATGTTTACTGGGTAATGGTCGAGTTTATTGTTCATTTTAATGGGGAAATATAGATCTTTTATTGAGCTGCGTAGTTATTCGATTAGTTTTTTTATATAAATCTAGGATTTTTTAATAAAAACGTTTTTAATTTTAAGCAACAAATTATTATTAAGATCTTTTTCTTAAGATTTAAAGAAAAATCTAATTGTAATGAAGATCACTTGTTTTAAAGGAAATATTAGTGAACAAATCTTGAAGTGATTTCTGCTAGAGTTCTTTTTGTCATAAAATGATCTTTTTAAAAAGTTGTTGAAGATTTTATATAAAAAGATCGTGTATTACGGATTCCTTAGTAAAAGATGAATTCTTCTTTAGAAGCTTGGGCACGATCACTGAACTCTTTTACGAAGATTTACTAAGATCTCTGTAGTAAAACAAGTTTTCTTGATCAACAATATGAGCGATAATTGATTGAACAGTTTTTCACTACTTTAGGCTTTATTTGTTTTTCACAGATCGAGATCATTCAAAAGAATGATCAATTTCTGGTATGAAATTATAGTGATCGCAAATTGATCTTCTTTTCCCGGATTTAACGTTCATTTACAAAGTATTTGGAATTTTCATATTACTGATCGTTAGTTGATCAAAAGTTTGCTTGAGTTCTTGATAACTTAAATAAGATCGTCCTCCATTCAGCGTTTAAACTATTACTTATCAAGTTTATCAAGATCAATTGTTACACAAGAACAAATCGAGATATTTCAGATCGGTCTTTTTTATAAGGGATCGAATTTCATTCCGTAATTTTGGACCAACATCGCAATTATAATTCATTTAATAATACTGATGATCTCTGATAGGGGTCTTTTAAAAAGATCAGTCTTTGATGAGAAATTTAAGTGATCGTAGTTTGAACTTCTTATTCTTCAGTAAATTCTTATATACAAGATTATTGAAATTTAAAATTTTTGAGTTTTTATATTAGGAATACGATCAGTATGTGAACACAAATTGATCCCAAATATGGGGCGGAACTAGAAGCATTTCCTTTTTTCTGGTTTGTGTTTTACTTTTTACACAAATACAAATCGAAATTTATTATAAAAAGATCAATATTTTTATGAACTTGAATGATCACTGATGAAACTTCATTTCGCTAAAAGATCTGCAGATCGAAGAACAATATTATTTACAAAATTGGACTTTTATTTAAAAATTAATTGATAATTTAAGATCTTCTTTTCTAAATAATAGACATTTCTTTAAAAATATAAAAGATCACCGATCTAATTCATTTTCACAGAGCTTATTCACTTTGAATTTTGAATAAAACGATTAATATTAAATCTGAAATATAAATGATCGTAGATTTATCTGCTTTTGACGGAAATATCATAGATGATCATGGATTATAGTAATAGTTTTTGAAAGATCTCATGTTAAAATTAGATTTTCCTTAGAGCTATGTATATGGGATCTTAAGACAAGATCATTCCAAGTCCTTAAACTTTGTATAAAACAATCTATGTTAAGTTTAAAGTCCAACAATTGATTTCTGAGAAAGAGAACATGGATCTTGTTCATTATAATCAACTTTAAATTAAAAACGTTTTTTATTTTATCATTTCACTTTACAAAATATAAACTTATGTGCCTTAAAGTTACTTAAAAGCTTCTTAAAACTTAAAAATAAAATGCCTCATAAGAAATAGTACAAATAAAGTGCCTAAAAACTCTCCTAAAAAGAGGGACTTACTAATGGTATATAATAATAGAATCAAAATATTTAGAATCTCATCAAAAAACTAAACATTTCCTTTTAAAACTCAAAACTCATTTAATATTTTAAAGCATTCCATAACATAGCGCTTAAAACTCAACTCTGCTTACTTACCACACACTCTTATCACAAAATTCACCACTACTCTAACCATAAAAGGTTAAGGTATTGTTTATTTTACTCTAATTAACTGCTTTAAATGCTTTAAACTAAAATAATAATTAATAATAAAAAAAAAATCCTCCAACCAAAACGAAACCTGTAAAACCGAATACATCTATTTGCCTTGTGATTAGTCTGAAATTAAAAGAGTTTTTGAATTTTTCTTTTGTTTAAACCACGAATTTCAAAAATATTTTTAACTATAAAACAAATATAATAATAATGACTGTTAAAACAAAAAGAAACTGAAAACTAATAATTCTTTATAAATTAAGTTTAAGATTTTTGTAAATTTTTTTTATTATTTTTTTTTACTTTGTACCGTCCTAAAACAAAACTAAATTGAAATTATTTGAAATTGAAACAGAATTATTTTGTTTAGATTTTTTTATGATATTGTTAAACATATGATTTTTTTTTTAAATCTATTCCTTTTTAAAGGAATTTAAAACAAAATTACAAAATTATCTTAATTTTATTAATTAACATCAATTTTTGTATGTAATTTACTTTTTTTCATTTTTTTTTAATATTTTATATAATTACTAATTGTAATTTAATATAAATATACCTATAAACAAAATTTCTTTCATTAAAGAAACCTTTAACAACAACCATATGAAAAATAATTTAATTTTAAATTAATAAAATAAATAAATGAATAAAAAAAATTGGCCTAAAAAACCAGAGAAAAAATAAAAACTTGTTGAAAAAAACTAAAAAAAAAGATTATAAAAAAATCTATAAATTATTTGTTTAATTTTGTCTGTGTGTGTGATTAGTAATTTTTGTTAGGTTTAAAATCAATCAAGGTTTTAATTAAAATTCGGTTTTCTTTGTCTTTGTCCCCGTCCTGTTTTTATACATTCATTCAATTAATTAATTTAATTAATATAAAGAAAATTATTTGTAATTGCTTTTATATGTTTTTTTATTGCATGTTGTTTTGTCCCCTGTTTCTTCACATAATTTGTCTTGAATTATCACATTTTCATTCTCCAAAATACAATAATAACCTTTTTAACCCCAGTAATCAAATTTCAAAACAATGTTAAATCATTATTAGAGACAACAACCATTTTGTAAACAATGAACAGTATTTGTGTGTAAAGTAATCGTCTCAATTAAAGTAATCGTTTAAGTAGTCGAATGAAAAAGTGTGACCAATGTTCAGGGTTTCTAAAATTATTTTAATTGTGCAAAACGTCCAAAATGAGGAATAATTTATATGAACAATCAGCAGATTCCAAGATTTAAGCAAAGTTTAAACATATTTTAGAATTTCAACTTACCGGATAATTGTACGAATAGATCTGAAAAGAAAATATAAAAAATATTATTATTTAGTTTCAAAATATTTTCATATAAACTCTTAATTCTATTAGATATATAACTGCACTTAATCTGAAATAGAACTATATATAATGGAATCGGAACTAAACAAGAACTGAATTAAAAATGAACTAGAACTAACCTATAACTGAAATAGAACTGATCTAGAACTGAACTAGAACTGAACTAGAACTGAACTAGAACTGAACTAGAACTGAACTAGAACTGAACTAGAACTGAACTAGAACTGAACTAGAACTGAACTAGAACTGAACTAGAACTGAACTAGAACTGAACTAGAACTGAACTAGAACTGAACTAGAACTGAACTAGAACTGAACTAGAACTGAACTAGAACTGAACTAGAACTGAACTAGAACTGAACTAGAACTGAACTAGAACTGAACTAGAACTGAACTAGAACTGAACTAGAACTGAACTAGAACTGAACTAGAACTGAACTAGAACTGAACTAGAACTGAACTAGAACTGAACTAGAACTGAACTAGAACTGAACTAGAACTAAACTAGAACTGAACTAGATCTAGAACTGACTAGAACTGAACAAGAACTGAACTAGAACTGACTAGAACTGAACTAGAACTGAACTAGAACTGAACTAGAACTGAACTAGAACTGAACTAGAACTGAACTAGAACTGAACTAGAACTGAACTAGAACTGAACTAAAAACTGAACTAGAACTGAACTGAACTTGAACTGAACTTGAACTAGAACTGAACTAGAACTGAACTAGAACTGAACTAGAACTGAACTAGAACTGAACTAGAACTGAACTAAACTGAACTAGAACTGAACTAGAACTGAACTAGAACTGAACTAGAACTGAACTAGAACTGAACTAGAACTGAACTAGAACTGAACTAGAACTGAACTAGAACGAACTAGAACTGAACTAGAACTAAACTAGAACTGAACAGATCTAGAACTGAACTAGAACTGAACTAGAACTGAACTAGAACTGAACTAGAACTGAACTAGAACTGAACTAGAACTGAACTAGAACTGAACTAGAACTGAACTAGAACTGAACTAGAACTGAACTAGAACTGAACTAGAACTGAACTAGAACTGAACTAGAACTGAACTAGAACTGAACTAGAACTGAACTAGATCTTAACTAGACCTGAACTAGAACTGAACTAGAACTGAACTAGAACTTAACTAGACCTGAACTAGAACTGAACTAGAACTGAACTAGAACTGAACTAGAACTGAACTAGAACTGAACTAGAACTGAACTAGAACTGAACTAGAACTGAACTAGAACTGAACTAGAACTGAACTAGAACTGAACTAGAACTGAACTAGAACTGAACTAGAACTGAACTAGAACTGAACTAGAACTGAACTAGAACTGAACTAGAACTGAACTAGAACTGAACCAGAACTTAACTAGAACTGAACTAAAACTGAACCAGAACTGAACTAGAACTTAACTAGAAGTCAACTAGAACCAGAACTGAAAAAGAACTGAATTAGAACTTAACTAGAACTTAACTAGAACTTAACTAGAACTTAACTAGAACTTAACTAGAACTTAACTAGAACTTAACTAGAACTTAACTAGAACTGAACTAGAACTGAACTAGAACTGAACTAGAACTGAACTAGAACTGAACTAGAACTGAACTAGAACTGAACTAAACTAGAACTGAACTAGAACTTAACCAGAACTGAACCAGAACTGAACTAGAACTGAACTGGAACAGAACTAAAAATGCACTAGAACTGAACTATAACTGAAATAGAACTGAACAAGAACTGGACCACAACTAAACTGGAACTGAACTAAAATTAAAATGAAACTAAACAAGAACTAAAAAGATATATAATTTTCGATAATTTGTCTCTTTAGACAAGATAGAATGAAAAGGGTTCAAAATTTATTTGACAGTTTGTTCATACTTTTTGGTGATGTCAAAGGTCTTTAAAATAGCTTTTATAAGTTCATTATTTTTCATTTATTTCTTTAAATTTTTCAAAATCATTTATTTAATTTTATATGTTTTATTAAAATTCCTTTTTGTTTCTCTTTATTTCTTTTCTTTATCTTTTTCTCTTTTCATTTAGACCTTAAATTCTTAGTATAAACGAAAGCTTTCTACAAATATTATTTATTATTACAAAAAAAAGCACAAATATGTCCTCGTCTGTGTGTCCTGCAAACTAAACCTAAATCCTACATCTCCATCGCGTTATCTTGATCATCAAAAGGCAAAGTGAAAAACAAGTATTGAAACAAATGTCTTAAAACATCCTTAGAATCTACACAAATGTATACGTGATGTTGTCATGTGAAAACCATCAAATCCAATGGGAATAAGTTCCATCAACCACCAAACTTTATGCTCTATGTTTCTTGTACAATCCAATATTATTTAAATTTTAATATTCTTTCATTATATTTTTTCTATTTATTGTTGGCTTAAGTTTATTTATAAAAAAAAAAAGAAAATTAATTTTTAAAATATTAAATAAGAAAAGCTTAATTTTTTTATAAATTTTTTATTTTATAAATTTTTTTATTTTGTCTTTTTTTATTTATTTAGTAACGATATTGAAGATGAAGAACTTCCTGATATAATTTTATCAAAAGCTACTGCTCCTTCACCAGGACGCATGTTATTTTGGTAGTTTTATTTTGACAAAAGCAAATAGCTCTCCCCCACCTGTACAAACAAAATTTAGAGTATTATTTAAATTAAAATTTAAAATTAATTTAAAATTAAAACGATTTAAACGAAATTTAAAAAGCAACGAAATGCGAAATTTATATTTTAAGAACGTATTTTATTTTTAAATAAAATTAAGTTAAAGAAAAAAAACTAAAAAGGTATACAAGTGTTTTATTTAAAATTTAAATAAAAAGAGGTAAGTTTCAGCAGATAATATCTTAATAATGAAGAAGAACTGAACAAAAACGGATCTAGAATGAACTAGAAAAAAACAAGATTGAACTAGAATATGGAACTGACCTGGAAGTGAACTAGAATTGAACTAAAAATTATTACAACTGAACTACAACTCATCTAGAACCGGACTAGAACAGAACTATAACTGATTTAGAACTAATTTAGAACTGATTTAGAACTGATTTAGAACTGATTTAGATCTGAACTAGAACTGAACTAGAACTGAACTAGAACTGAACTAGAAATGAACTAGAACTGAACTAGAACTGAACTAGAACTGAACTAGAACTGAACTAGAACTGAACTAGAACTCTAGAACTGAACTAGAACTCTAGAACTGAACTAGAACTGAACTAGAACTGAACTGGAACTGAACTGGAACTGAACTAGAACTGAACTAGAACTGAACTAGAACTGAACTAGAACTGAACTAGAACTGAACTAGAACTGAACTAGAACTGAACTAGAACTGAACTAGAACTGAACTAGAACTGAACTAGAACTGAACTAGAACTGAACTAGAACTGAACTAGAACTGAACTAGAACTGAACTAGAACTGAAGTAGAACTGAACTAGAACTGAACTAGAACGGAACTAGAACTGAACTAGAACTGAACTAGAACTGAACTATGACTAGAACTGAACTAGAACTGAACTAGAACTGAACTAGAACTGAACTAGAACTGAACTAGAACTGAACTAGAACTGAACTAGAACTGAACTAGAACTGAACTAGAACTGAACTAGAACTGAACTGACTGAACTAGAACTGAAGCTAGAACTGAACTAGAACTGAACTAGAACTGAACTAGAACTGAACTAGAACTGAACTAGAACTGAACTAGAACTGAACTAGAACTGAACTAGAACTGAACTAGAAACTGAACTAGAACTGAACTAGAACTGAACTAGAACTAGAACTGAACTAGAAATGAACTAGAACTGAACTAGAACTGAACTAGAACTGAACTAGAACTGAACTAGAACTGAACTAGAACTGAAGTAGAACTGAACTAGAACTGAACTAGAACTGAACTAGAACTGAACTAGAACTGAACTAGAACTGAACTAGAACTGAACTAGAACTGAACTAGAACTGAACTAGAACTGAACTAGAACTGAACTAGAACTGAACTGAACTAGAACTAGAACTGAACTAGAACTGATAATAAAGGCATTTATATAGTAAATTTTTCTTTTTTCTCTAATGTTTCACATATTTTCAATGCATTACTATCAGCATATATTTTCCAATATATTAACTTTAATTTCTATATTTTAAAAATTTTAAACGATTACTTTTCCACAAATAACCGAATTTTTTAATAAACAACCAAACACAACATTATATACAGCTGTTTAAACAAATCCACCACACCACTTAACAAATACTCCTTTAACAGCTGTTAAATGTAAACAAACACAACAAAACCACCGAAATGGAAGAGGAATCTAAAGAAATTTTAAAAATAACACAAGAAATTGTACAAATTAAACCAAAAACTAAATATTTAAGGTAAAACTTTCATTAAAATAAAATCTACAATTATTAATGAAGAATTTTATTACGAACAAAAGTCCCTCAGAGCTAACATCTTTAAGAAATCAAGAAATTTCCACCAGCACTGCCGGCTTAAAAAGAACGAAAGTTGAGAACACTCCGGAGGAACATAATGAATTGGAAAAGTTGTATGGTAAATATAACGAATGTATTTTTATATTTTTTAGCAAATATTTAATGATTTCTCTTAAGATAATTTGGAAATGCAGTTGTCTAGACCCCGCATAGAGCGTTTGGCTGGCCGTGCTGTAGGTGTTTGGGATTCTGCTAAACAATTGGTGCGTGTGGAACGCAAAGATGGCAAATTTGGTAATTTTGGTTTTAGTATAGACGGAGAGCTGTATTTGGAGTATTATGAGGCCATGTTTTTATTGGAAGTAGTAAGTTTTAGAAAACAATTAGTAACTTGATAGAATTATTGTGAAATTCATATAACAATGACTCACTTGAACCGTACAAAAAACAGGGCTCACTTATAGATCACCAATTTCATAGCCTAAATGCTGTTTCTAGAGGAAAACTGTCCTCAATTAAAAACTTTCTTTGGGAACATTTCCTTCAATCAAAGCAAAACTTTTCTAAATTGCAACTAATTTTTTTAGAAATGATCTTGTATGGAACTAAACTAGAACTAAACTAGAACTGAACTACATCTGAACTTGAACTGAACTAGAACCGAACTAGAACTGAAATACAACTGAACTAGAACTAAAATAGAACTGGACTCGAACTAAAACTCAACTAGAACTAAAACTCAACTAGAACTGAACTGAAACTCGACTAAAACTGAACTAGAACTGGACTAGAACTGAACTAGAACTGAGCTAGAACTGAACTAGAACTGAACTAGAACTGAACTAGAACTGAACTAGAACTGAACTGAACTAGAACTGAACTAGAACTGAACCAGAACTGAACTAGAAATGAACGGAACTAAACTAGAACTGAACTGAACTAGAACCGAACTAGAACTGAACTATAACTGAACTAGAACTAAACTAGAACTGAACTAGAACTGAACTAGAACTGAACTAGAACTGAACTAGAACTGAACTAGAACTGAACTAGAACTAGAACTGAACTAGAACTGAACTAGAACTGAACTAGAACTAAACTAGAACTGAAATAGAACTGAACGAGAACTGAACTAGAACTGAACTAGAACTGAACTAGAACTGAACTAGAACTGAACTAGAACTGAACTAGAACTGAACTAGAACTGAACTAGAACTGAACTAGAACTGAACTAGAACTGAACTAGAACTGAACTAGAACTGAACTAGAACTAGAACTGAACTAGAACTGAACTAGAACTGAACTAGAACTGAACTAGAACTGAACTAGAACTGAACTAGAACTGAACTAGAACTGAACTAGAACTGAACTAGAACTCAACTAGATCTGAACTAGAACTCAACTAGAACTGAACTAGAACTGAACTAGAACTGAACTAGAACTGAACTAGAACTGAACTAGAACTGAACTAGAACTGAACTAGAACTGAACTAGAAGTGAACTAGAACTGAACTAGAACTGAACTAGAACTGAACTAGAACTGAACTAGAACTGAACTAGAACTGAACTAGAACTGAACTAGAACTGAACTAGAACTGAACTAGAACTGAACTAGAACTGAATTAGAATTGAACTAGAACTGAACTAGAACTGATCTAGAACTAAACTAGAACTGAACTAGAACTAAACCAGAACTGAACTAGAAGTGAACTAGAACTGATCTAGAACTGAACTAGAACTAAACTAGAACTGAATAAGAACTGAACTAGAACTGAACTATAATTTAACCAAAACTGAACTAGAACTAAACTAGAACTGAAATAGAACTGAACTATAACTAAACTAGAACGAACAGGAATTGAACTAGAACGTACAAGAACTAAACTAGAAATAAACTAGAACTGAACTATAGCTGAACTAGAACTAAACTGAAACTAAATTAGAACTGAACTGAGATTAAACCAGAGCTTAACTAAAACTAAAATAAAACTGAACTGAAACTAAATTAAAAGTGTACTAGAATTGAACTAGAACTTAACTTTCAATTTAACATTCTCCCTAGAATCGCCTACAACTGAAATACAACTCTCGTATAATGTCCATCGAACAAGCCTATTTACTGCTAATGGGCGAACAGCACTCCCCCAAATATCACGAATATCTGGTGTACTCCAATCTTACCAGAATTGGTTACATTTTAGTGAAACATCAAAACAAACACTTTCAAACGCAACAAATTAACAATGAAGCCGATTGTGTTTGGGCCGTTTTAGAGGCAGAACTGCAGAATGATACGGTAGCAGATTATATAAAGAAAACACCATATTATAACAAAGTTAAACAAAATTTTGAGGCGGTAAAAAATAAAATTAAAAATCAAACTGAAGAGGATGTAGAAAAGAAAGAAAATAATAAGATAGCAAATATTACAACTACAGATATGAATTTTGGTGTAAAAATTAAACCTAATTTAAAAAGAAAAGCTGATGCAGAGGAATGCCAAAATGAGTGGTTAACAGCTAAAAGGCATTGTAATTATGCTCTTAAAGTGTTTCAACGTAGTTTGGTGGATTTCTTAAAAGAGGAAGATGAGTATAAGCAGTTTAAGGAAATCTTTGAAAAATTCGATTTGGTGCCTTTGAAATTGAGCGAAAAGAGGGAATTAGAAGAGGAAGATAAAGAAGATGAAGAAGTTTTAGCTACAGAACAAGAAATAGAGGAGTTGAAGGCAAAATATCCCATTAATTTCGATGTTTATTTACACAATGAAGGTTTCCGCAAAAGCTCACCCCACTTACCCAACTTTCGTGTGATTATATTGCAAACTGAGCAAAAGTTTCCCTCACATGATGAAATATTTCTTACCCATCGACAACAATTAAATCCAGTGCCTTTATTAATCGTATCCGTTAATGATTCCAAACAAATGCAGGCATTTTTATATTATTTTAGTTAAGATTTTCTTATAAAATCTTTAACAAATTCCCTAAATATTTATGTTTAATAATGGCATTTAAATCTAATATTTTAACGCTTCATTTATTAATTTTATTAATTCCATTTATTTCTTTAATTGTTGATGTTCAATGTTCATTCATTGTTGTTCATATTTTAATGTGTAATTAATATCTTTATTTTTGTCTAAACTTTTAATACAAGCAATAAAATTAGCGAGTTCTTTCTCAGGTAGTACTTTTTTATAATAATTTTCTTGGTTCATTAATTTTGTTAAATTTATTTAAATATTTTTTTCAACCTGCTGCGCGTATACGCAATTTATTTGTGTTTATTTTTTAGTTTTAAAGAAATATGTATTTGTTTTTTTCCTTAATCTCAGTACACTAGGTGTTAAGGAATGGTTTCGGAACTTGTAATCAAAAATAGAAATTTGGAAAAACACCTTATTTTGAAAATCAATTCAAAATCGATTGAAAAGCATTTATAAGCTATTTAAAATTCAGAACTTTATTTGTAATTGTTTCTAAAAATATGGCTTATCTTAAGAAGTATTTGCACTGGCCAATTTCTAAGGGGTCTTTATAATTCTACCTCATCTTGACTATAAGTTTTTTCTATCAAATAATTGAAATTTAAAAAAGATACATTTTCCCTTGTATAATTTTCACGACGTATAAATTTATATTGTTAAATGAAAATTAAATATAAACAATTGTGTCGTTGTTATTGTTTTAAACGCTAAAACAACAATTTTTTTGGTTAATAAAATGTTTATGTTTATTATTTTGTATTTTTAGTTTATTAAAGAAAAATGTTTAAAGAAAATAACATTCAGCAATAAGTCAAAGAAAATAAACTTAATTAAACAAGTAAATTAAACAGTTTTTTGCAATTATTTTAAATAAATAAAAAACAAGGGAAATTTAACAAATATAATTTTAAGTTAACAAAAATGATCGAATTTTTACTAAAATATTAATGTTATTAAAAATAATTTAAAATTTCTATTCAAAAGAAAGGTTTATATAAATTTAGTGAAATTTCAAATATTTAAGTAAAATGTAATAATCACTGTCTCATCTCTATTAAAAGAGAGAGAGAAAGAAATCACTCAAATTTTATTTATTATTTCTGTGAAAGTGCTGCCAGCATATGTGAATAACACCAGGGATTTGAATAAAAAAATTTCTTTTGGAACATTTTATTCAATAGAAGTATGTTCTATCTACATCAGTTCTACTTTTGTTCTTCTTCTACTTTACTTAAATTCTAGTACTAATTCTGTTCTACTTCAGTTCTTGTTCAGTTCTACTTCAGATCTAGTTCAGTTGTCGTTTTGTTTAAGTTCAGTTCTAGTTCAGCTCTACTTCAGTTCTAGTTCAGTTCTAGTTCAGTTCTAGTTCAGTTCTAGTTCAGTTCTAGTTCAGTTCTACTTCAGTTCTAGTTCAGTTCTAGTTCAGTTCTAGTTCAGTTCTAGTTTAGTTCTAGTTTAGTTCTAGTTCAGTTCTAGTTCAGTACTAGTTCAGTTCTAGATAAGTTCTAGTTCAGTTCTAGTTCAGTTATAGTTCAGTTCTAGTTTAGTTCTAGTTCAGTTCTATTTCAGTACTAGTTCAGTTCTAGTTCAGTTCTAGTTCAGTTCTAGTTAAGTTCTAGTTCAGTTCTAGTTCTGTTTTAGTTCAGTACTAGTTCATTTCAATTCATTTCTAGTTCAGTTCTAGTTCAGTTCTAGTTCAGTTCTAGTTCAGTTCTAGTTCAGTTCTAGTTCAGTTCTAGTTCAGTTCTAGTTCAGTTCTAGTTCAGTTCTAGTTCAGTTCTAGTTAAGTTCTAGTTCAGTTCTAGTTCAGTTGTAGTTCAGTTGTAGTTCAGTTATAGTTCAGTTCTAGTTCAGTTCTAGTTCAGTTTTAGTTCAGTTGTAGTTCAGTTCTAGTTCAGTTCTAGTTCAGTTCTAGTTCAGTTCTAGTTCTGTTTTAGTTCAGTACTAGTTCATTTCAATTCATTTCCAGTTCAGTTCTAGTTCAGTTCTAGTTCAGTTCTAGTTCAGTTCTAGTTCAGTTGTAGTTCAGTTCTAGTTCAGTTCTAGTTCAGTTTTAGTTCAGTTTTAGTTCAGTTCTAGTTCAGTTCTTGTTCAGTTCTAGGTCAGTTCTGGTTCAGTTCAAATTCAGTTCTAGTTCAGTTTAAGTTCAATTCTAGTTCATTCTAGTTTAGTTCTAGTTCTGTTCTGGTTCAGTTATAGTTCAGCTCTAGTTCGGTCCTAGTTCTCTTCTAGTTCGTTTTATAATTCAGTTATAGTTCAGTTCTAGTTCAGTTCTATTGCAGTTCTAGTTCATTTCTAGGTCAGTTCTAGTTCAGTTCTAGGTTAGTTCTGGTTAATTTCTAGATCTGTTCTAGTTCAGTTCTAGTACAGTTCTAGGTCAGTTCTAGTTCACTTCTAGTTTTAGGTTAATTCTAGTTCATTTCTAGTTCGTTTCTTGTTAAGTTGTAGTTCAGTTCTTTTTCCGTTCTAGTTCAGATCTAGTTCATTTCTAGCTCAGTTCTAGGTTAGTTCTGGTTAATTTTTAGACCCGTTCACTTCCAGTTTTTTATTAATTCTAGTTCGTTTCTAGTTAAGTTGTAGTTCAGTTCTAGTCAGTTCTAGTTCAGTTCTAGTTCAGTTCTAGTTCAGTTCTAGTTCATTTCTAGTTCAGTTCTAGTTCAGTTCTAGTTCAGTTCTAGTTCAGTTCTAGTTCAGTTCTAGTTCTAGTTCAGTTCTAGTTCAGTTCTAGTTCAGTTCTAGTTCAGTTCTAGTTCAGTTCTAATTCAGTTCTAGTTCAGTTCTAGTTCAGTTCTAGTTCAGTTCTAGTTCAGTTGTAGTTCAGTTCTAGTTCAGATCTAGTTCAGTTCTAGTTCAGTTCTAGTTCAGTTCTAGTTAGATTGCATTGCAGTTCTAGATCCTTAAATTTCATCGAGTAAAACATGACCTCACAAATTTGCTTGAAATTAAATTGAGATATCATATAGAAAACTTAGTTGATGTTTAAAAAGAAAGTTTAATAAAATCCTTTTTCTGAAATCTCACAATCTGGCATCCCCTTTTCTGCTCTCTCACACATGGCTTTTTTTCACATGAGTGCGAAAACAAAAACAATTCAAGCTTTGAGTCACATGTCAAATTATGAGTGAAAGTAAATTGAAAGAAAAACATAAACATTTACGCAAACAAAAACAACAAAATTAACAGCCAATTTTCATTTTTCCCATAAAAACCAACAAAAAAAAGGAAGAAAAACATCTAAAAAAAAAAAATTCTTTTATATTATTTTTTGCCTGCAAAAAAGGAAAATGAGCTCGAGTAAAGAAAATCACTCAAACTTAAAGGTATGTGAAAAATCAGAAGAATTGTAGATATTCAGTCGCTACTAGCAACTCAATTGAAAATCATCTTTTGATAAAAAATTCTAACGGTAAATTTAGAAGAAATTTTCCGCGTTCGCTTAATTCTATAGAGAAGTTGAACGTGTTGAGAGTGTGTTTGTGTTACGAGTGCGGTAATAAATTTAAAAATTTATTTTTCTTCTTATAAACTACAGCCCAGTGTGTAGTTTTTCTTAATTTATTTTTTTTTTATAATACAAAAGAAAACTAATAAATTTCATCTGATCATCATGGTGAGTGTTAAATTTTTTTTTCGCCATTTTTTTGGAATTTAAGAAAATAACCCATAAAAGAGTTTTATATAAGAATTTAAATTTTTAAAAAATAACATAATTTTGATAATTTTGGTTTTAATATTTTGTTAAAATAACTTCAGAAATAACGCTTTTTTAAATTATTTACTTTAGTGATTTTCCTTTTCACTTTCCCAATAACAACAATAAGGCAATTGATATTACTCTTGTAAAGATTTGTCAACCTTGACCTGCATTTGATTTTTTTCTCATTATCGAGTGTTTTTTATTGTTTTTGTTGCTTTTCATTGTCATCTGTGTTTTCTTGCAGAGCAAAAAATGCATTGACATTGAAAAGTGATGCCAATTACGAGAAGAAAAAATTCATTTAAGAATGAGATAAAAAATGAAGCAGCAATCGTGACTAATTTACAGGACTTTTAATAAATGTAATCATTTGACAGATAATTTTTATATATAGAAAAGTTGCTTCAATTAAAGACAAGTTTTTGATAGAAAAGTTGCTTCAATTAAATACTAGTTTTCTATAGAAAAGTTGCTTCAATTGAAGAAAAGTTTTTTTTAGAAAAGTTGCTTCAATTAAAGACTAGTTTTCTATAGAAAAGTTGCTTCAAGTGAAGGCTAGTTTTCTATAGAAAAGTTGCTTCAATTGAAGACTAGTTTTCTATAGAAAAGTTGCTTCAATTGAAGACTAGTTTTCTATAGAAAAGTTGCTTCAATTGAAGACTAGTTTTCTATAGAAAAGTTGCTTCAATTGAAGACTAGTTTTCTATAGAAAAGTTGCTTCAATTGAAGACTAGTTTTCTATAGAAAAGTTGCTTCAATTGAAGACTAGTTTTCTATAGAAAAGTTGCTTCAATTGAAGACTAGTTTTCTATAGAAAAGTTGCTTCAATAGAAGACTAGTTTTCTATAGAAAAGTTGCTTCAATTGAAGACTAGTTTTCTATAGAAAAGTTGCTTCAATTGAAGACTAGTTTTCTATAGAAAAGTTGCTTCAATTGAAGACTAGTTTTCTATAGAAAAGTTGCTTCAATTGAAGACTAGATTTCTATAGAAAAGTTGCTTCAATTGAAGTCTAGTTTTCTATAGAAAAGTTGCTTCAATTGAAGTCTAGTTTCCCATAGAAAAGTTGCTTCAATTGAAGTCTAGTTTCCTATAGAAAAGTTGCTTCAATTGAAGTCTAGTTTCCTATAGAAAAGTTGCTTCAATTGAAGACTAGTTTTCTATAGAAAAGTTGCTTTAATTGAAGACATAATATCTATAGAAAAGCTGCTTCAATTTATAGAAAAGTTGCTTCAATTGAATACATGATTTCTATAGAAAAGTAACTTCAATTGAAGAAAAGTCTGCCGTAATTAAGTTGCCTCAATTGGAGACTCTTTTTCTTGAGGAAAATTTAGTTTCAGTTTTTTATAGAAAATCGAAGTTATCGATAACTTTTGATCTTAAATATAACTTAACTTTAATTAACTATTGAATATGACTAATTTTTTAAAAAAACTTGAAAGTATTTTAAACTTTTATTTCCATATTCCCTAATTATAATTTCATATATTAAGAAAAAATGAAACTAAATTAGAAACAAGAAAAAAAACTTTTAAAATACCAAAAAGCAGCTTAAGAATTTATTGCCTTAAAAACTGGTAGTTATATGAAAAATTATGCTAAAAAAATGACAAACGATATGTGAAGCAAAAAAAAATTAATTTAAATATTTTCCTTTCAAAACTTAAATTGCAAACAAATGAAACAAATTGTAGCTAAGTCCAAAATAAGAAGAAACAAATTTTGAAAAAAGATTAACTAATAATTTTAAAAATAGCTTAACTCTGCTCCACACATTTATTATTTTAATTAGCACGTCTTAAAATCTTAAGAAACAAATAAACAGACAAAAGAAAATTATAATATCTATTTAAGAGGTTATAAAATTAGCACAATAATCGAAGGAAATTATAATCGGCTTGATGATCTATATAAAGATCAAGCGTAAACAATTTGTTTAACAAAAGGAAAGGTAAAAAAGTGTGTGATTTAATATAAAAATAGTTTTATAATGACGTACATTTTAATTAATAGTGATAATTTTTCAATAGAGAAGTACAAGTCATCGATATTCTAAAATGAATAATGTAATCGATAATTTTTAAGAAGAAAATGTTAATGTTTATCTTTGAGTTACTCACTTTTTTAGAAAAGTGAAAAGTGATATCGATAACTGTTATAAAGAAAATTCATGTATGGTTAACTTTACTTAAGAAACTAACATCTACAGATAGTTATCGATAACTTTGGTATAGAAAAAACAAAGTTATCAATATCATTCCGATAGATTTTCTTACTAATTTAATACTTTTCTAAAGAAAATGGAAGTTAACTCTAAGCTATCAATTGTTTTTCTATAGAATATTAGTGTTATTGATAACTTTTTTTAATAAAATTAAAATTATCGATAACTTTTCTAAAGAAATATTTATGTTCTTGATAGATTTTTTAAAGAAAATGTAAGTTAAAACTGGTTTTACACAAAATCAATTATCACTAAATTGTATAACCAAGATCCAAGTTATCGATTATTTTTCTTTAAAAAATCAAAGTTATCGATAACTTTACATAATAATATTAGAATAAACTATAACGTTTTTATAGAAAAATTTATGCTTGCGATATATTTTCTAAAGAAAATGAAAGTTCATCTTGATTTCAACACAAAATAACTTTTTGGTAAATTTTGTAACAAAAATCTAAGTTATCGATGATATTTCTATAGAAAATTTATTTTATCGATAACTTTTTTTATTAAAATTTAAATAATCGATATATTTTTTAAAAGAAAGTCAAAGTTCTTAATAAGTTATTTAGAGAAAATCGATGTTAAAGTTGATTTCTCTACAAAATCAACTGTCGATGAATTTTATATCAAAAATCGTTTAGTTTTTTATAAAAATTTAAAGTTATCGATAACTATTTTGAATAAAATTTAGATTATCGTTATATTTTTTTAAAGAAAATCAAATACGAAATCGTAATTTCAGTTGATTTTGGTAAAAAATCAACTATCGATAGATTTTTTTAAACGAAAATAAAAATTATCGATTACTCATCCTATAGAAAATTAAAGTTATCGATAGATTTCCTAATCAAATTTATATTTTCTATAGAAAATTTAAGTTATCGATAAATTTTCGACAAACAATTATAAGTGTCGATAAAGTTCCCTATAAAATGTTAGTTATTGATAAATTTTCAATAAAATTTTTAGTTATCGACACATTTTCTATAAAATTTTTAGTTATCGTTAAATTTTCCACATAAAAATCGAAGCTATCGATAAATTTTCCAGAAACCATTTAATTATCGATAAATTTCGATTAAAATTTTTGTTATCGAACACTTTTCTACGAAAATTGAAACTTATCGATAATTTTTTTTCTAAAAAATTTAAGTTATCGATAAATTTATTTTAAAATGTTTAATTTATCGAAAATATATTTTATAAAATTTTAAAGTTATCGATAGAATTTTATTAAAATTTAAGGTTAACGATACATTTTTCATAAAATTTTTTCGTATTCGATTTTTATTAATTTAGTCATCGATAAATTTCTATAAAATATTTTAATTATCGATCATTTTTGTATAAAAATTTAAAGTTAGCAATAAATTTTCCATAAAATTTTTAATTATCGATAAATTTTTTTATAAAAATCTAACTTTTTTAAAGAAAGTTTTATAAATATATAGTTTTTATATAGATTTTCTATTAAAAATTTAAGTTTTCGTTAAATTTTCTATAAAAATTTAAGTTTCTGATAAATTTTTTATAAAAAAATTAAGTTAGCGATAACTTTTAGTAAATAACTTAAAGTTATCGATAATTTTTCTATAAAAAATTTAAGTAATCGATAAATTTTCTATAAATAATTTAGTTACTAATAACATTTCTATATTAAATGAAAGTTATCTATCAATTTTCTTTTAAAAATTTTATAATCGATAACTTTTCTATAAAAAATTTTGTTTTCGATAACTTTTCTATAAAAATTTTAAATCGATAAATTTTCTATAATACATTTAATAACTGATAACTTTTCCATATTAATTTAAAGTTATCGATCAATTTTCTTTAAACGATTTTATTATCGATATCTTTTCTATAAATATTTTAGTTATCGATAATTTTTGTTAAAAACCTTTAAGTTATAGATACATTTTCTACAAAAAATTTAATTACAGATAATTTTTTTTTAAATTTTTGTTACTGATAACTTTTCTATAAAATTTTAATATTATCGATTATTTTTTTTTTATAAAAATTTTAGTTATCGATAAATTTTCTATAAAAAATTTAAGTTTTTGATAAATTTTCTAACAGATTTAAGTTATCCATAATCTTTCTAAAACAACTTGTAAGTTATCGTTAAATTTTTTATAAAAAATTTCAGTTATCGATAACTTTTCTATACAAATTTTATGTTGGTGAAACATTTTCTATAAAAATTAAGTTACTGATCATTTTTTCTATATAAATTCAATATAATTAATCAAATTTCTTTAAGCAATTTTGTTATCGATAATTTTTTTATAAAAATTTAATTTTATCGATAAATTTTTTATAAAAATTTAAGTTTTCAATAAATTTTCTTTAATAAATTTAAGTTATTGATAACTTTTCCTAAGAAATTTGTAAGTTATCGATACATTTTTTATATATAATTTAGTTATCGATAACTTTTCTATATATAATTTAGTTATCGATAACTTTTCTATATATAATCTAGTTATCGATAACTTTTTTTGTAAAAACTTAATGATGTCGACATTTTTCCATAAAAATTTAGTTTTTGACAATTTTTTATATAAAAAATTTCGTTTATTGATAATTTTTTTACAAAAAAATTTTGTTGGGAATACTTTTCAATATTAATTTAAAGTTATCGATCTATTTTCTATATAAAATGCTAGTTGATAGATAAAT